TAATGTATAATAAGATTTATGAGTTCTTGACAACTACTGAGGAACAACAGATAAATGCTACATCAGTTATTTATCTTGGTGAACACAAAGTTACATTAAATCAATCAGTAACAATAAAAAATAATTCAAGCACGATTCATAACATGCGCTTGGTACTTTGTATGGTTCTATCAGGTTACTGACACTGTACGTTTTGGATGGTAATTTTTGCAATGAAATTATCCAAAGAATACTTACTGTATATTGAGAATAATGGAGTGACAAGTCAAAATTTGAATTATTTAAAGATGAGATAAAAAGTGAATTGAAAGCAATAACAGATGTAAAAGTACAAGATTGATGAAGGCTAATATAAAATTTTATGGCTTAAATAATCAAGAATAATCAATAATAATGATTTTCAAGTTCTATTATTCCTATAAAAAATAAGAATAATTAAATAAAGGATTGCACATCAAATATAAGAGCTGGGCCATGGCTGTCTCAAATGAAATTATTTTTTTATTTTATAGGTAAAATTTTAAATAATTAGTTACAAACTAATTTTTTAACTTATAAAACCTAGAAATCTAAGTCAACTAAACCACATTTATATGTAAATATCAAAAAGTGCATTAAATATATTTAACTAGAGATATGATTTCTTTAAGCATAATATTATATATAAATATAACAACATTTTATATAATGATGAATCCTTTAGAATTTAATAACCATTTAAAAGATATAATCAACAAGGTTTTTAGAACTCAAAAATACCTGAAAATTGGAAAAGCCAAAGCCATGGGAATATCAATTAATAAATAAATACTAAACCAATAATTACATTATTAGAAATTCCATGCAAAATAATGTAACAATTTTTGGATAAGAATTATGTTCATTTAAATAGAACTTCACACAATAAAACTAAGTCTTGGTTGACTAATCTTAAATATTGCAACAATTAAACAAAAGCATTTCAACTCATTTGTGCATTCATGCATCAACAGTGCCTATTTTATTTATTGTTGGATCAGCATACGTGATATATGAGCAGTAAATAAACAAGTATAAATAAGTTTATGATAAACATGATTACCTGATAATCTCTTTTTTTTGTTTGGTTTTGGCTAGTGAGTATATATTTTTTTTAACTGGCTTCAAAGAAACGTTTTTGATTTATTTCTTATTTTTTTTCTAGGGTTTCTGGATTTTCTTGTACATGCCGGACTGGTAAGTTGTTTTTTTATTTGTTTTGCTTTAAAGAAACGTTTCTAACGTTTCATTTATTATTATTTTTTTTAGGGAACCGAGATTTTTGTATATGCCGGACTTTTAAAGGTAAATTGTGAAGAGGGGCTTTTCTTATTTGTTTAACTTTAAAGAAACATTTCTAACTTTCATTTTTCACTTTTTTTTTTAGGGACGCCTGATTTTTGTACAAATTGAATTTTTAAAGATATTTGGATTTTTGTACAAAATCTTTCGCTCCAGACTTCCAACGGTTTCCATTTCCTAGTATAATGCACAAATTGTATATACTGTATGTATAAAGGAGTTCTTACGTGCTACAATTTTAAGGTCACCTTAAACTAATAACTTAAAATACGGAGTTCTAGTTTTTTTTTAAAAAAATAAAATAAAATAATAATTTCTTCAAGTTGTGGTACGTATAAAGGAATCTTTACTTAATTTAAATTTATAGTACAAGTAAATGATACAAACACAAAACATTAACATGTTGAATAAATACTTGATATTCTTGATCATTCTGAACTCAAAGGTGAACTGATTTCATTTTTTAAAAAAAGGTATGTGATATAGCAGTTATATAGCTATTTTCGTTATTTTATGGCACCATGAAAATCATGATTTTTAGTAAAAAAAAAGACATGAGCGTGAAAATATCATCAGAAAAATCAGGAATGTTAATGTTATTAGTAAACTCTGAACCAATTAGTAAAATAACATAAGATTTAATTTAATTAATTTACTATAAACAAAAAAAAAATTTATCATAACGTATAAAGCTTTATTATAGAATTGATCTATGTAGTATGTACCAATATAAAGATATTGTAAAGTATGTAATAGAAATATAAATTATAAACACATTTTAGTAATAATAAAAATTATGACTTATAAGAACATTTAACATTTATCAATCATTATACAGCCAGACCTCAATATATCAAGAACCAATCCGTCATTGTGGACCGCAGTAAATTTAAAACTTTAAACCGGAAATCAAATCACGTGAAATCTGTTCTATCAAAATTTCTTTACATACTGGTATAACAAAAATTAACTAAATTAAAACAATGAATTAAATTTTGCGCGTCTAAATTATTTTAGTTTCTTATCTTTGAATCACGTGAGATTAATTTATTAGTTCGTTTATGTAGATCATCCCGTGTCCATTTTATCGAAACTATTTTTTAAAAGCATAAAATATAAGCAGTTAAACTTGATAATTATCAAAAACTAATTTTAAATTAATATACATCATGATAGTAAACTCAAAGTATAACAAATTGGGCGAACCAAGTAAAGATTATTGTGTTACAAATTATTGTGTTACAAAGGATTATTAAATTATTTTAATTAACTTAAAAATTGCGTTGAAAATATGAATTTGGGCGAAGTTAAATAATTACTCTATAGTTACCAAATTTTAGTACTTGAAGTCTTGAATATCACTATTCTATATTAGACGTGAAATGATTACGTTTAATAATTTTTCCACCACTACAATATCAAGTTTTTAAATTGAAATAGTTATTTCACATTTAGTTCCATTAACAAAACTGAAAGCCAATAACGGTTGGGAGACTTTTTTATCGTTTAAGCTATAATTAAGCTATAATTAAGCTAAAGTCCATACAATGGGTCACACAATAATATCGTTATACGTGGCCAAATCTTTACCAATCATCTGCCATCATTGGTTAATAATTTTGATATTTATCAACGCTTACAACGCAAAGCACAATAACTTATAACTAGTATTAAAAGGTTGGCAATATTTTCTGCATAAATAAATTGAATTGTGTAACATGGAAACGCGACGATTTGACGATTTGACCGGCAAACTGTATAATAAGTAAATTTAGTTAATACACTAATAAGTAATAGACAATTGACTTATTAAGTTAATAATTTTTTTGGTGTGATTTTTTTTAATGAATATAATAAATTTTTCGGATTTTTTTTTTAATATCAATAGACCGGTATAGTACAATAGATATAATATAATTTTTTGGATTTTTTTAATAATAAAAAATTGGTTTGATTATTTTTTTATATCCAGTTTCTTAGTTCGATACCGAAAATATTTTTTTTTGTTTTTAATTCTTTGGTTCAATAATTTTTTTAATCATTTCTTTTTTTTTGATTCCTTCAGTTCAAACCGAAAGATAAATCTCTTTTTAATTTAGTTTTTTTTGTACATTTGTTAATTTTTTTTTCTTGGTTTCTCTATCATAAGTTGTAGTAAATTTTAGTTATATAAAATAAAATATTTAATTATATTGATTATAAATCAGACATGTTCAATATGGTTACCGTGAAGTATTGTTAATGAATATAGGTAGCATTTAACACATAATTATATAATTATTGGAAATCAAAAGAGACGGAATATTAGAAGAATTTGGAATGTAATGTGGAAATGGATTAGTAAGTTCATAAAAAAAAATAATATCAAAATTAAATTAGAAAAATCACAGTCACAATTGTAACAATTGCAGATTGTTCTAGCAAAATTAGGAAGAATGAGCGAAAATTCATGTTATATATTGTTTGAAAATATGGTATGGGAATATAGTTTATTCTGAAAAGGCAATATAATAAGAGAAAATACTAGAAGTGCTATTAAGAAACTGAATCTTGCCAATTAAGTGTAAAAATAGACTAACATTTCTTATTTTCTTTAGATCAAAAGGAATCTTGTAATTTCTTCCAAGATTCCAATATTATTAATTTGTATAAAAACTAAAAGCTTGCAATTTTCAATTGAATTGTGATTATTATAAAAATTCTTTATTATCTTTATAGTCTACAATCTTAAATATTTTATATCTCACATAGAAGAATTTGAGGGCGGTACACTGTATGTTATTAATTTTTTAATAAAAAAAATTTAGTTATAAATAATATGGTAGATTTTAATTTGCAAATAAGTACGGTATAACCGCAAGTTCAAAACGAACGATTAAGCTGCATAAATCAAATACACATTCTTTAATTTACTGCGTTTGGTTTTATGAATTTCAAAAATAATAAGTGAAAATTAGGAACATAATTATTTCTATGTTTAAATTATCTATATGAAAATAAAAAGTTTTACGCACGTATCAAATTATTTGAACATTTCAATTTATAGAATCTGAACTATTGTGCTTACAAGTTACAATACGTAAAAAAATCTCAATATTCTAAACATATAATAAAGTAATTATTGTTACAATAATAATATTAATCAAAATTGCATTAATTTTTTTTGGTCCACTAATTAATCACATCTGAAAGACAAGCCATTAATTTGAATATTAGTTTAATAAAACGGTCAATTTTTCTTAATTTGCTATAACTGATTAATGTATGAGAAACTTTAATTCAGGTCAATACATATGGGCTATCGGAATGTCGATCATCAAGTGAGCCAAATCCGCCCATATGACGTCAATCCACTCTTATATTGTTATTTTATGTTCTCACGTAAAGAAAATCTTATTGTTATATTGACAGACTGAAGTGTGCATTAAATAAAATTATCTTTAACAAAATGTCGCATTATTAACTGTTTCTAAAATAAAATAATGTATAAAAATTTGTTCTTTGAAAATTGATTAATTGGTTAAGAAAAGTGGATCACCGCAGCATGTTATGTGGCTTTTTTTGTACAACCTTTTGTGACTGTACGACATTACCAAAAATTTATTATATAATGAAAAAAATTAAATAAAATTAAATAAAATTCTTCTTTCGATTATTACTTTACGACCAATAATATCAAAATGCAAAACACCGAAAATACAAATGAATGTATCAATTGGATTGAAGAGGCCATTTCTAAGGAATATTTTAGACTTTATGAACATAAATATTTTAGTAATGTTCAAAAAATTGGTACCGGAGGATTTGGAAAAGTTTATCGTGCAAATTGGAAAAATTCAGACCAATGTTTAGCGTTAAAATCCTTTTTCAATGTTGATGACGTAATTGCAAAAGAAATTGTTCATGAGGTATGTATAAATTATGAAATAAGTATACTATTGTCATTTTAATATTAATAATATACTGTATGTATTAAATTTATTTTTATAAATATCCGATTATATTCCAGCTCAAGCTTCAACGTGATATACAATTTCATAATAATATTATTAAGTTCTATGGCGTTGCACTATTTGAGCCAGGTATTATATAAATTTAATTATAATAATAGTTAAAATTTTATTTAACTTTGCAAATATATAATTTATTAGAAAATGATTAATTCCTTTATTCATCATTAGAATATCAAAATGTTCAATCGAAAAATTATTTGTTAGTAATGGAGTATGCTGATTCTGGTACTCTCAAAAATTATTTAAAGGAAAACTTCAATAATCTTACTTGGAACGACAAATATAACTTAGCGTATCAATTAACTAGCGCCGTATCGTGCTTACATAATGAAAGAATAGTGCATCGTGATTTGGTAATTCATTTTATTAAATAATAAAATAATTATTGTTATTTTTTTTTTCATATTTTTAACGTCATACTAATTTAATAGCACTCCGGTAATGTATTGGTTCATCAAAATATTATCAAACTGTCCGACTTCGGGTTGTCAAAAAGAATCGAATCATCGTCCAACACAAAAACTAAATTTTTTGGATGTGTTCCATACGTCGATCCAAAAAGATTTCGTGGACGAAAAAAAAATAAAAACTCAAATCAAATATGTTCATTAAGTGAAAAAAGTGACATTTATAGTGTTGGTGTGTTATTTTGGGAATTATCTAGTGGTCAACCACCCTTTGCTACTGAAGAGTACGATATTGATTTAGCTTTAGAAATTTCACAAGGTCGTAGAGAAGAACCCATTCTTAATACGCCTGAAAATTATATTAAAATTTATACTGGTATGTATGAACACTCATTAATTATAATTTAAAATTTATTTATAATATATTATTATGTTTTTTAGAATGTTGGGATAATGAACCAGACAATCGTCCAACTATAAATCAAGTATTAGAAAGAATAAAAGAAATTATAACGAAAACAACAGAAAATCATCAAACGGAATTAAATCTTCAATCAATATCAACAGATGAACAAAATTTTAATCTAATCAATATTGATACTTCAAATATTAACAATTCATTACATGGGGAAATGTCTCAAATTATTGAAAATTTTGATAAAATGAATACAAAGGATATAGTATATACATCATTAACCAATGAAAATATTACATCTGAAAAAAATTTGAGCAAAATAGTTAGTGAAATAGTAAATTATATTTTCAAATTAAATAATGAAGGAAAAAGTTCAATAGTAAGCGAATTTATTCTTGATTATTTTAATAATAATAATATAAATTCACAAGAAATCCATGATTGGTTATTAATTAATCAAAATAATTCAGATTCCATATTTTTACTTGGATGTTTTAATTATTTAGGAATTGAAACAAGTGAAGATAAAAAGAAAGCGTTTAATTTATTCATTAAAGCATCAGAACAAAATCACACATTAGCGCAATATTATGTTGGATTATGTTATGAATATGGTCGTGGAACTGTAAAAGATAAAAAATTAGCTTTCGAATATTATGAAAAAATAGCTAATAAGGGTAACAGATTGGGATTATTTAAGTGTGGTTATTTTTATAATAATGGAATTGGAATTAGTATTAATGAACAAAAAGCATTTGAATTATATCAGCAGGCGGCAAATTTAGGATATTTGAATGCTCAAAATAATCTTGGCCTTATGTATTTTAATGGAGATGGCGTTAATAAAGATTATGGCCGAGCTTTTGAATTATATCAGCAGGCGGCAAATTTAGGAAATAGTTTTGCTCAATATAATCTTGCTGATATGTATGAATATGGAAAGGGAATTGAAAAGGATATAAATCAAGCAATTTATTGGTACGAGAAATCTGCTAAACAAGGGTATCAACTTGCTCAAAATAGATTAGAAATAATTATGACAAAAAATAAAAAAAAAATAAAAAATTTTACAACTCACTCCATAAAAAATATTTTTAAGCGTTGAGAAAAATTTTACGTTAAAAAAAAAATTACGCAGTTTTTAAAAAAGTTACAAAAAAGGATCTATGCTAGAAATAGTTTATAAATATTAAACGATTCCTTAAAAAGGTTTAGACATTTAGCGTTATTAGCAAAATAATTCCTTAAATTCATGCAGATTATGCAGATTCAAAAGGTGCTGATATAATATACTGATGATACTGATATAGTGATATTTTGGGTTGAACAAACAGCGTGCCATTAAACAATAATCATAGATATATCGTCAACAATATAAAATTTGGTACCTTTTATTTATTATTTTTTTTTAAAAAAAAATTCATAAGTTACAAATATATATAATTTAACTTTCTCAATTGATTTATTTATTATGTGTTTATCATTGCATCAAGTTCAGTTACTGATAAAAAGAATAAAATGAAAATGCTTGATAGTTAAAGGATAGATCCAATACGCACTTAATTTAAGAAAACTGATAATATGATCGAGCTCAACTCTAATCGAGTAAGTGGGATGGGATATTTTGTGTCACAATCTGGTTTTTAATCTATGCTTCTGGCTCATTCAATATATATTTACATCCAAAAGACCACGATCGGTAAAATATAATTTCGAATAAATTTCCTATTATAAATAATCGAGTTTATCACAATAAGCTTTTTTATTAAAATGTTTACCAAATGAAGTGGATTGCTAATAATAGTGGCAACTTTGAAATGAAAAAATTTTTTTACAAAAAAAAAAAAAAACGACTACAATAATATTTCTTATTTCTCATTAAAATTTGCATATCTATTGTAAAGGTAAACACAAATTGTTTTTTACATCGGTCACCACTACATCATGCATGGGTAAACCTGGATCACGTTTAAACTCATCCCGTCCTAAAACTGCTGCGTCCGCATCACGTTTATTGTTTCACGTTTATAAAACCCCGTCCATCACCTATGTCCACATCACGTTTATAATCTCCTTGTGGTGCTGCATCTATGCCAGTAATGAAATCAAATTATTATTAACAATTCATTTAGTAATTAATATTAATAAAAAGAGAAATTTTTTTTTAAAAGATGTGATTATTTACTCGCTAAAGCAAAAGTCAAGGCGAAAATCAACAATAAATGTATAGTGTGATTTATAATTTTTAATTTCTCAGTTGTTTGTTAATTTTTTTGGAAGAAATTTTTTCTTCTCCTTCTCAGTGTTTATATAAGGGAATTTTTCTATAAAAGTACGTATTTCAAAGTACTTTAAGATTATATTTTTAATAGGTTTTACTAATTAAACACATCCCAACCAGTGATCACGTGAAACAACATCAAGGGTGCGACAAATAGGATTTTGACTAACAAAAAAACGTCTTTCAGATTACTTTATGGATTACAGAAACGCGAAGGGTGTGATGGTAGTGACAAATAAAATCTATTTTTAGAAGCGGGAGCTGATCTGTATTGCGCCATGTTATTGATGTCAAAGTTTACTGTTGAAGAGCAAAGCCACTTTAAATTAATAATTTCAAAATGAGGGTGAAGTAAAGGATGTGTATAAAAGTAATTATTGCCATGTTTTTCTGTATTGCGCCATGTTAAATTTACTATTGAAGAGCAAAGCCACTTTAAATTAATTTTCCTCCTTTCCCACTTCTCATACTTTCTGTTGAAAATCCTTACAAACATTTTTTAGACTATTTTTTATTTTTTTTTAGGTTGCTCTTTCGGCTCTTGGATGTGAAATTTTGGTGAGTTAATTTTTTTTAATCGCTCTTATTTGACGAACGATTAACAGTTCGTTTTCTTAACTCGTCCGAAGCCCGATTGGACAGTTCGGCAGATCGGCGATCTTTATTTTTTTTCAAATTTTTTTTTAAAATTTTTTATTAAACTCATTTGAGTATTGTGATATTATAAGGGGATATTATTATATCATGAGGGTATTTTGTGAAATGAGTACAAATCATCATCCTAATTTTATAGTAACATATCATATTGGTACGACGCAATTTTATTATATATCTTGACGTTTATTTTTATGAAAGTAATAACATTATGCGACTTTTATTTTATTAAGAAAATTTTCCCAGGATGATTGTGTTTCTTTATTATTGTATCGTCCAAGTTAAGCAATTTTCTCCTGAATATCATATCTAATAATAGTACATCATTTGAGAGATTGAGAGATTGCAATATTATATGTTTGGGAAAATTGTAATATTACATCAAATTAAACAGTATATTTTATAAGTAGGTCACTGGAAATTATCCTTTATTACCAAACAGCACATTCATTAATTACCGATCTGGCAACTGATAAAATTAGAAAATGTTTTTATAGGATTTTATTCACTTGAAGAATGAAGATTATTTTACCAATTTACATAAAATAGCATATTAGAATTAGCAACTAATTTTTCGCGTCTTACAATTATTTCTTTATCACATCTTTTTTCTAGTAATTTTTTACAGATAATTTGTTTCAAATAAACTTTAAAAAAATATTTATCAATCAATATCTTGAAAGTCTATATATATTTAAAGACTTTATTATTTAAAAATTTTTATTAAGACACTATGGTTCGTGGAAATGTTAGAGCTCGCCGTGCCAAAATTTCACAAAAAAAGAGACGTCAATGGTCAGCAAGAGAGAAGTTGATGGTAATCGCATATTATGAGCAAGGTTATAGCAAACGATCAACAGCAGCTAAATTTGAGATTGAACCAAAACAACTTCGTGACTGGTTGAAAAATAAGGATCAACTTATGATAGTAGCTCCCTATATTCAAAAACTTGTTAAAGGTGCGCGTCCAAAATACCAACAGCTCGAAACTGAATTAATAGAATGGTTTAGAGATTCACGAAGGCAATTGAAAACAATTTCGCGTTATATGATTCAGGCAAAAGCATGCTCTTTAGCCAAAAAACCATTATATCAAAGAGTGTATCCAGATATAAGAGAGGCGAAGTTTTCACAGAATTGGGTTGATGGTTTTATGTACCGTAATAATTTAGTCAATAGAAAAAAAACAACAATTGCTCGACGACTTCCAGATGATTACATTGAGCAACAAAATCAATTTTTATCTTATGTCCTTTTTCGTAGAACAGAGCACCAATATCCATTATCTTTAATTGCAAATATGGATGAAACGCCTATGGCATTTAATTTACCAAGCAACACAACACTTGAACATCGTGGTACAAAATCTGTTGCTATTTTATCTACTGGGCACGAACGCGCAAATTTTACTGTTGTTTTAGCTTGTATGGCTAATGGTGAAAAATTGCCGCCAGTAATTATTTTCAACCTTGTAAATATTCCGCGAGAGGATTTTCCTGATGGAGTAATTGTTCGTGCTAATCCCAATGGTTGGATGAATGAAGAAGAGATGACCTGGTGGATAGAAAATATTTGGACACAACGTGCAAAACAAGGCAGCAACCCAAGATCTCTTTTAGTGTTAGATTCTTTTTCTGTACACAAAACTGATGCTATAAAACGTCGATTTCATAGAAAAAATACTGATTTGGCTATTATTCCAGGTGGATTAACTTCTCGTTTACAACCAATTGATGTATCATTAAATAAATCTTTTAAAGCTAAGGTAAATTTCATTCATCAAATTTTCTCTGTTAATATAAAATTAATATTATTTTAATAAAATTAGATGCGACATCTTTATGATCACTGGATGAATGAAGCTATTAAAGAATATACCCCATCTGGAAAAATTAAAAGACCATCGTACTCACTTGTAGCAAATTGGGTAAAAGAAAGTTGGGATGCAATTGATACCAATTTGATTATACGTTCATTTAAATGTTGTGGTGTTTCAAATGCGATGGATGGGACGGAAGATGATTTAATATTTAATTTTAATAAAGTACAAAAAATAAATAATAAAGGGAGAGGAATTGAAGCAAATGATGAAATTCATGAAGAAAGTAGCAATAGTGATTATGAACCAGATGATAATGGATCGGATGATAGTGATAATAGCGGATGTGAATCAGATGATGATTATTATAACAAAAATGAAAACCGTAATGTGCTTCAAGATTGGAATTAGTAATGCCGGTATATCAAATTGCAAATTTTATTTGAATTTTGTATTCGTACTAATTTTGTTATAGTAAATATGTTAAAAGTCTAATAATAAATAAATGCTAAATATTAGAGTTATACTATCATATTTAAGTTGATTTATTTATTGATCGTTTATTGGTTGATAGTGGAACATATGAAATTTGTGACACAAAATAAAATATCCGATTTGTACCCGGGTCTTATACAAAATACCCATGAAAAAAATTGAATTATACCCGAGTCTAGAAAAATTTTTTTATATCTAATAAAATACCCGACATGGGGATGTGCAGCGCGGCACGGTACTATCTGTAATATGCTCTAAACTACTTTATCAATTTCTATATCTATATGATTATTTTTTTATCTAACCTAGCATGCTTATTTTACACATTTTTGTCTTCCTCTCCCTTCCTTATGGAATTCTTGTCAAACAGCTTGCATTTATCAGATTCTATTCTTGGAACTCTTCTCGCGTTGGTATTTTATTATTATTATTATCCATCACATTCAATCCCGCTAACCACGCTCCAACCATCCTAATTTTCTTCGCCTCAACTTCCTTTTCTACTTTTTCATTCTTATCTTCTGGCAGCTCCTTTCTTCTTTTTTCAACTCATTAATCACCTCCATTACCTTCTTCAGGGTTGTATATTCATTAATTTTTGTTGATTGGATAAACGGCCGGTGTTTTTTCATTAAAGATACCTTGTCTAAACTTATTCAATTTATGCATAGTGTTAAGATCCGGATCAAGGTTAATCCGTCAATCCAGCGGAATTCATTTGTATCATCCGCTAATATTTCAGTTGAATCCAACGGATTCGTTTACTGTCACGCGATTTATTAAGCATAAAATAGATGTCATTATTATTCTTTTTTCTTTCTACATACAAGCAAGTTCGAATTCCTGATTTTTTTTT